CCGCCGCAAAACCCCCAAAAACGGGGGTTTTGCTCTCCCTGCTCTCCCTGCCCTCCCCAGTGTTTCCCCGGGAGCAGCTGGGCGATGCCGGTGCCGGCACAGCAAGCCTGGTCCCCGTCCTGTCCTGGGGACGCTGCAGCGCTGGCACCGGCTGTCTGCCGGCACCCGTCCTCACGGGAAAGCGCTGCTGGACCCTCACCGAGTGCCGTCTCTGATCCGAGGATGACTCTGCCCCCTCTCTCCGCCCCCCCAGGACCGCGGTGCTGAGCCCTGGGGATGGAGTGGCCAGCGAACGCGGCAATGGCGGAGAAGCAGAGCCCTGTGGACTACGGCGTCCAGATCCGCTTCATCAACGACCTGCAGGAGCCCCGGAGACCCCCCAAGGCGCGGGGCAAGCCCGGCTCCTACGGGGTGGCAGTGCGGGTGCAGGGCATCGCCGGGCAGCCCTTCGTCGTCCTCAACAGCGGCGAGAAGGGCAGCGACTCCTTCGGGGTGCAGATCAAGAGCGAGGGCTCCTACCCGAACCCCCCCACCGGCCCCCAGCCCTCTGGCTCCATCAGCTCCGACTCAGACCTGCCGGAAAACCCCTACACCGGGCGGCAGCCCCAGCACGGCTCGTCCTACAGCACCTCGGATGAGGAGGCGAGCGGCGTTTCGGCGACCTCCCGGCACAAGCCCAAACCTCTGCCGGGCAAGCAGCCACTCCAGGAGGAGCTGCGGAGGACGCAGTCCCACGGGGATCTGCTCAGCGCCGCCGCGGAGGAGCCTTTTGCTGCCGGCGCTCCCCAGGCCAGCGGCAGCCGGCGGCACTGGGCTGTGGCCGGCAGCAAAAGCAGCAGCATGTTGAACATCGCACCGGAGCGGAGCAAAGCCTCTGGCTCGAGGGCCATGGCCAAGGACCCCTCCTCGGACACGGAGGCCGCGGTGGACGCTGGCGGCAGCGACGTGGACACCAAACCCCTCTCCTCGGTGGATTCGCTCATCAGCAAATTCAACGGGAAGGTGCAGCAGCGAGGCCGGGCGGCCAGGAGGGGCCGGATCCCCTCGGAGGAGAGGAAACGCTCGCAGAGCCTGGACAGCCGCATCTCCCACCGTGATGTGCCAGATGCCAGGGAGCTGAGCGGTGCCCAGCACCGGGTCGGCAGCGTTCGCCCCCAGCCCTCGGTGCCCACCGGCAGCCTGAGCCGCCCGAGCGGAGCCGGAGGGATGGAGGACAGGGGGACGAGGAGCCAACGGGCGAACCGGGGCATGGAGGAGCCCACGACTGAGCGGCTGCAGAGCAAAGCTCAGGCAGAGCTGCAGGTACCGGGGGACCAGATCCTGCTGGGATCACAAGGGTCACGAGCTCCTTAACCAAGGGGAGCACCGGCACCGAGGCGAGCACCAGCGTCCTCTGGAGCAGCAGGACCTGCGGGGCGGTGGGGGGGACTCGTGTCCTTGCCGGAGCTGAGCTTTTTTTATCCCTCACGGCAGCTCAAATCCACCCCGGACCTGCTGCGGGACCAGCAGGAGGTCGCCCAGCCCAGCAGCAGTGAGCACCCCAAGGAGCTCATCTACGGCATCCTGAAGGAGGGGTGAGCCCCCCGAAGCCCCCCCGAGAGCCCCCGTTGCTCCCTGCCCCTTTCCCGAAGCGCCGGTGGCTGCGGCTGGGTCTGCGGGGTGGTTTGGGAGCGGGGATGCCCCTGTAGCCAGCTGGTGCTCAGGATTTTGGGGGAGCGAGCGGCAAAGCACTGGGAGCGTTCCCAAACCCCGGGCTCAGCCGTCCCCCGGCTCTGTCCCCACTGTCCCCAAACGCTTCCCCCGGCTCTGACACCCGCAGGAGCAGCGAGAGTGAAATCTCCCTGAAGAGGAAGACTGCCCGGCTGCTGGAGAAGATGCAGGAGCTGGCAGTGAGTCAGGGCCTTCCCGTTGCTGCTCCCTGCTTGAGGGGGGAGACCGGTCCCCAAGCCCCCCCGGGGGCTCCTGCCTTCCCGGCACCGTGTCCCGGCATGCCGGGGACGGGACCCCAGCGGCACGTGGCTGCCAGGTGGTGCGACGGACCGAGCTGTGGCCCCCGGGGGGGTTGCGGTGCCCCGAACCCACCGAGTGAGCCTGGGGGGTCTCTCCAGGTACCTGCCAAGGACACGGCGTGTTCCCAGCCCCAGCACAGAGAGCTGGCCAGGAAGGTGGAGGAGCTGCAGGACAAGCTCGACAAGGAGACCAAGGTGAAGCCAGGCAGAAGGTTAGGGGGTCTCGGGGGGACGTGGGATCGCAGTTTATATCCCTGGCAGGGGGGAAGCGCAATGGGTCCCTGCTCTGAGCCCCCTTCACTTGGGCTTGGGTGCAAGACCGAATTTTCTCCTGGTCTGTTTTGCACCCCGCTGGGGTGTCTCAGGGATGCTGGGGGTGCAGACGTCCTTCCTGTCCCCGCCGGAGGCGGGGGGGATGCTGGGGAGGGGGACAGGGAGCATCGCTGCAGTCGCTGGCCGCTCTGCCCCCAGGAGGGGACGTAACCGGTGTCCCCTCTCCTGCAGCTCCGCCAGAAGCTGGAGCTGACCAGGGAGCCGGGGAGGAGCGGCTCCGCTCGGGCCCTGGAAGCTCGGCTGCGGGAGGCCGAAGGGGAGAGCCAGCATCTGCGGGGGGCCCTGGAGAAGAAAACCCAGGAGCTGCAGAGAAGTTTGCAAGAGTAAGAGCTGGTCCCGGGGGCTGCGGCCGTGCTGCCGAGCGCGCCAGGGCTGGGGACATTTTGTCCGTCCCCGGTGTGGGGATGCTGATGGAGGGTGGTGGGGGCATTTGGAGATGCAAAGAGGGCTGGTGGAGCGCAGGGTGGGTGGCTGTCGCCCCGCTGTCCCCATCCCCTTTGCTGTGCCGGGACGAGCCACCCACCGGTGCGGATGCTCGTGGGTGGGTGCTGCAGCCCCAGCCCTTCGGGGTGCAGATGTGGCCGGGGTCTCGAGGGGAGAGCAGGTCCCTGCCAGGCTGTGAAGGGCCCCATGCTGCCCTCCAGGCTGAGTGAGGTGAAAACAGCCAAGGAGCAGGCGGAGACCCGGCTAGGCGACTGCGAGGAGCAGCTGCTGGCGATGCACCGAGAGCTCGACCGCCTGCGCAAGGGCTCCGGCGCGTCCCCGGATGGCGAAGCTTTGTACAAGGTACGGTGACGGTTGCACCGGAGCGTGAGCATCCCCCCCGTGCTGCTTCGCTGCCACCGAGCCCAGCTATCCCCTTCTCCCAGGAGCTGCTGGAGACCAGGGAGGAGCTGGAGGAGGCACTGAGCTCCAAACAGCGGCAGGAGGAGCAGCTGCGGCTGCGGGAGCGGGAGCTGACGGCGCTGAAGGGAGCCCTCAAGGAGGAGGTGGCCAGCCACGACAAGGAGCTCGACCGTGTCCGGCAGCAGTACCAAAACGACATGGATCAGCTGCGGCGCAGCATGGAGGACATCTCGCAGGTCTGGCCGTGAGGAGGGCTGCTGGGGAGGGACGGGGAACGGGGTCTTGCTGGCTGTGGCTGGGGAGGGTCTTTGCTTGGAGTTGGCGTCCTTGAATTCCTCTTTTTAAATGGTCCTGAGCTGGAAATGGGGTTTGTGTCCTGCCCCAAACTCACCCCATTGGAGCACCCGTCTGCCCCGGCTCTCGCCGCCCCGGGGCGGAGATGCTGGGGAGTGAGCGGAGCCTGTTTGCGGAGGTGTGGGGGCTCCCCGGTCCCCTGCGTGGGTTCTCTGGGCTGGTTTGGGGGGCATTAACTGGGGCAGGACCTCAGCATTGTTGGAGCATCCCGTGAGGATGCCGCTCTGCGGGCGAGCGCTCAACGCTTCGATCCAGGATCAGGCCAACCTGGAATCGGAGAGGCAGAAGATCAGCACCGTGGTGAGGAACCTGCAGCGGGAGCTGGAAGAGAGCACGGAGGAGACGGGGCACTGGCGGGACATGTTCCAGAAGAACAAGGACGAGCTCCGTAACACCAAGCAGGAGTAAGTGCCGGGGCTGTGGCTGAGCCGGAGGCATGAGCAGCTTCTGGGGGAGGTCCAGCTGCTCGTGACCATCCAGCATCTTTCCTCCAAACCCCGTTAAAATGGGTCGGGAGCTGGGATGGGGCTGGTTCTCCTCCTCCTCCACCCCTGGGCACGTGGGGAGGAAGGCAGTGGCCGAGCCGGGTGCCGCTCTCCAGGCACGCTGGGACCTGGGAACGGGGGTGTGGGACAGGAGGACACAGGGATGGGTTTGGGTGGCCTCATCCTGCCCCTCTCCAGGCTGCTGCAGGTGAAGCTGGAGCGGGAGGAGTTTGAGGAGGAGCTGCGGGAGCTGCGGGAGCGCTTCGCGGCCGCCCGGGAGGAGGCGGACCAGGCGCGGAGCAGCGCGCTGGATCCCGGCGAGCTGGAGTCACTCAGGAAGGTGGGTGACGAGGGAGGAGGCGCACGCAGCGCTGGGGACCACACCAAGGGTCCCTGACCACTGTCCCCTCCATCCCAGGAGCTGCGGCAGGCACGGGAGGCGCAGCGGGAGCTGGCGGTGGAGAAGCAGAGCCAGGAGGAGCTGCTGCAGCAGCGGGAGCGGGAGCTGGCAGCGCTGAAGGGCACCATGCGGGAGGAGGCGTCCAGCCACGATGGGGAGCTGGAGCGGTACCGCAGAGACCTACAGCAGCTCCAGGAGGAGCGGGATGAGGCCACCAAGGTGAGCACTGGAGAAAGGGGTTTGCCCCCACCCAGCCACGAGCCGAGGAGCGATCCACACTGTGGGCTGCCCTCGCACCTTCCCGCGAGCCCCAGATTTCGCAGCCACGAGGCGATGCGGCAAACCCGCAGCCCTGGATCCGCCCGCCGTGGGCTCCTCCCAATGGATGCAAGTCCAAATTGCTGCCCAAGACGCCCCAGCTCTGCAGCTGGTCCCGGGTCCATCCCGTGCCGTGGCTGCGTTGCAGGCAAAGGCATCCCTGGAGCGCGCACGGGAGGCATCGGAGCAGACGAGGAAGACGGTGGAGTCCAGCCTGCGGGAGCTGCAGGAGCAGAACGACAACCTGAGGAGGAAGGTCCTCGGGATGGAGACGCAGCTGAAGGAGTATGAGCGCTTGGGCGAGAACTGGGAGGGCTCCCAGGCGCGGCTCAAGGAGAAGGTCACCAAACTGGAGGTACCGGGGCTGCGGCCGTTTCCGAGCTGCCCTGAGCTGTTCCCCTGCCATGGGAAGGAGTTTGAAGAGCTCCCTCCTTGCAGGCAGAGCGCAGGCAGATGGAGGAATCGCTGGGCGAAGCCACGGAGCGGGAACAGGAGCTGCTGATGGCCAAGCGGTCGCTGGAGACCCGCCTGGAGGAGGCGCAGCGGAGCCTGGCCCGGCTGACGCAGGAGCACCAGGAGCTGAGCACGTCGTACCAGGACGAGCAGCGGCAGAAGGAGCAGCTCAAGCGCGCCAAGAGTGAGCTGGAGGAGCAGAAGCGCCTGCTCGATCGCACCACGGAGAAGCTGAACAAAGAGGTTGGAGTGCCCGGGTGCCTCCGGGGCCGCTTGCACCCCCGGGACCCCCGTCCCATGGGGCATCGTGTGCCACGACACCCGGTCTCTGTGCCACGGGATGGGGATCTCCAAGATGCCCTCGCTAGGTTAGGGGATCCGGGACTTTGGGCATGGATCTGGTTTCCCTGCAGAGCCAGTTGGGACCGCTCCTTCCCCCATGTCCTGGGAGACTCCATAAAATCACGCTGTCCCCGGGGATCAGCATCCCCTGGTGTCCCAGGGCCATGTTGTCCCCTACCCTTCCCCAAGCAGCTCCTGCAAGAGCCCGGTGCCTGCTCAGAGTCTGGGGTCATCCAGGCTGCTCCGGCAGGGCTTGCACCCCTCGCCGTGATGCTTCTGAGCCCACGGGGCAGAAACGTTCCCCCCAGCCCCATGCCCATGGGTATCTTCTCCCACCTCGAGTCCCATCAGCTCAGGACAGGGTGCATAGGCTGGTCCCCGGCTCCTGAGCTGTCCCTGCTCTGCCGCAGCTGGAGCAGATGACGGAGGAGTCGCACAGCTCGCTGGCCGTGCTGAAGTCGCAGCTGGAGGAGTTCAAGGAGAAGTCGCGGAAGGAGATCACAGACTCACAAAAACAAGCCAAGGATCGGGGCGCCGAGGTAGAAAAGATGCAGTTCAGCATGGGACGGCTGCAGGACGAGGTACGGCGAGGGCTGGCGGGTTGTGGGTCCCCACACTGTCCTCTCTGTCCCTCTATGGGGAGCCTGGGGACACGTCTCACGTGGGGACACCTTTCCCCTCGGTGCCACAGGTCGCCCGGCTGAAGCAAGCGCTGCAGGACAGCCAGGCAGAGCGGGAGAGCGCGCTGCTGGATAAGGAGGTGCTGCTCCAGCGCCTGCACAACCTCGAGCAAGAGATGGAGACCAAGAAACGCTCCCAGGACGATCGTTCGCGGCACGTCAAGGCGCTGGAGGTGGGGAGCGCTGCGCGGCGCCCCAAAACCGCTCGTCCCGTTCCTGCAGTGCTGTTTGCTAACAGCAAGGGGCAGAGCTCGCCCAGCCATCCTCCATCCCACAGCTGCTGCGAGAGAGGAGTTACGCAGCCTGGCAGCGCTGGGGGGGGTGTGCGCTATTGCTAATATTAATATTTATTAACTGCCAGTGCAGCGGCTTTGTTTCGGCTCTGTCCGGCATTGCCCTGCAGCTCAGCTTGCCGCAAGCTGTTGCTTTGCGGGTTATTCTCCCCTGACGGGGTGGTGGGTGCACGGGGGTCCGCACAACGTCAAGCTGCCGTGTCTCGCATCCAAGCACCTCTCTTCTCCTGCCTCCCGGGCTGCGTCGGAGCCTCCCAGGCCGGTTGGGTTTTGCTGAGCTGGAAGCGTTGTCGGAGCAAAGCCCCTTCCTCCAGCATCCCAGCTCACTGGCCCCGGCTGGCCTGAGCCCCTCCTGCCGCCTGTCCCCCTGCCCATGGGGACCCCAAGGCCCATCATGACCCTTCTGGTCCCGTCTCCCTGCAGGAAAAGTCCAAGCACCTGGAGGTGGAGCTGGATGAGGAGAGGACCACAGTGGAGCTGCTGACGGAGAGGGTCAACCGGAGCAGAGACCAGGTAGGGCAGGCGGTACCACCCCGAACCCGGCTGGTGCCGTGGCAGAGCCCCCCCAGCTCCGGCAAAATAGCGCTGGATAACTCGGGTCCTCGGGTACAACTGGTCACCGGAGTTAAAACCCCATTAATGAGTTGTTAGCGAGCAGCCCGGAGCCCTCCGTCACTCTAAACACAATTGAGATGACGGTGTCTGAAAAGCTGGTTCGGGCGCGAACGAAAATTATACAAGCTTGGCACAAAAAAAAAAAAAAAGAAATACCCTGAAATTACAGGGTGAGGTTTGTGTTTGTGCAGGAAGTTGGGGCTTAAATTACGCCGGTCTCCAGGCTCTCCCCTCCCTCTTAACCCACCTGCTTATTACCTTCAAAGCCGGAGCTGGTGTTTGAGCTCTGCGAGCGGGCGGGAGCTGCCTGCCGAGCCTCCCGGGATCTGGCGACGCTGGGTTTTACCGGGATCCCGGGATCGGCAGCTCCTCCGCTTTATAGCCCGTTTCCCTCCTGCCCCACCGGGATCCAGCCTGGGGCTTGGAAAGGGGATTCCCACCCCTCGAGCTACGGCGAGCCGGTAAAATGGGTGGTTTTCCCATTTTTCCATCTGGGAAACGGGCACATCCCAGGGGAGACTTTTTCCATGAATCCTGGACGTGCCTGAAGTACAGGAGCTGCAGAGCAGGGATGTGCATGAAACCACAGCTGGGTTCGCCTCAGAAGCGGCCGTACCAGCTTTTGGGGCTGCTTGAATAAAATTCAAGCAATTTTTTTATATAAACTCCAATTTCCTTCGCTTTAAAACAATGCACACAGCTGCATATTTCACCTTGGTCAACCTGAAAGAGGCCCCTGGGGCGGTTCTGGTTTTGCTCCGTCGGTGGATCAAACCCATTCCTGCCCCCCAGCACGTCCGCGCCACCGTGCCCCGCGGTG